TCAAAAATATTAATTGTTGATCCCTGGCATTTATTGAACATTTTTATCCCTCGTGTATAGAAATACTACAATAGTATCGAAGATTTTCGAACATATGTTAAAAAGGAGATCCCCTTTTCTCTATCTTGACCTTAAAAATATAAGTCTTATCACATCATTTTAGTAATTTGGCAATAATTGCTTGGAAAATGCCAAATTGGCAGAACGCGTGTATTTAGTGACATTTTAAACACATTTCTTTAAGGTAGCAATTGCCCCAAACACTTAAAGTGGTTGTCTAATTTTATTAAAGTGAAGCATTTTTTTTTTTATATTTATAACAATTATTATTGAATGATTAATACGCTAATATTAATTCAATATGACAAATTAGCATTGCACAATACTTACCTATATTTTAATGATTTATTAAAGAGTCAGTAAATAGATAAAAAAAAACTACAAAAATAGGTATTATAAGGTCAACTGGAACGATAATATTACGTATAAGATATTTATTATTGGAAGTAATGGATTGTATTATTATTGCAGAATAATATCAATATTTTTTTTCTAAAATAGAAAAAACGCGAATGAAGTTTCCTCTACTAAAATATTATTTGTAAATTTTGAAAACTAATTTCTAAAACTCAATTTTTAAACAAAATGGTTAGTGTTCTTCACGCACATGATGAGTAGCTTTATTATCAATTATTATTGTCTAGATGGATAAAATGTTCGTGATGCCACAGCAATATAATGCTGATGGTTTAATCACATTGCAATTCTATCTTTAGAATGTGTTATCTATTCACGTATTTTTAAGTTAAATTAATATTTATATTTTTCATTATACTGCGAAATGTTACAAAAAACAGCAATGCATAAAATATTTAGTAGGTAATTATTATACATAAATTTAACTGATTTGGTTTTGGAATGTATTATATTAAAAATAATTATCATGACATTGTGAAATTGATATTTCTATTAAAAGCTGTCATACAAAAATTATTTTTTTTTCAAACTTTCTTTTTAATAAAAGCTTGTTTAATAGTTAACTCTTTCTCGTGTTCGAGTTAATATATTATATCTACGTAGGAGATTACCTACTTTTGTAAAATTTTTACCTTCACTAAATAGCATAACTTTATCTTATTTATATTTTTCTGTTGGTTTAATTTTCTGTGACCTATTTTACTTTGTCCATTTTTACCGTAAAAATGATTAGGTAGGTACTAAGATTCCTATATGAGCGTTAGGAGAATGATACCTGCTACATGTAATCACCAAATAAGAATAAATCATTGATTCAACATAATGATTCCTCATTAAATAGTTTATATTTCATAAGTTTCGTTTAATGTACTATTTAGTATTTGTCATAAATTCAACTTTATTAAGTACTTTTTTATTGTATTGTGATGTAAATCGACTTAGACAATTTGATTCAATTTTAAAGTCGGTATCTGCCTAATGATAATTTAATGTAGTAACGAAATTAAAATATATAAACAATAATTTTTACTGAATACTTGTTTAACTCATACGTAAGACATGGATCTTATAGCATAATATTATAATTATTGTTTGAGCTGTGAGTTATTCAAATGTGATTTTTAAAATAGGTTAGTACTATGTGGTTTTATTCCTCTTTAATTTAAAAGAATTATATTTTATCTTGATTTTTAATTTTTTTCTCCTGAATACATTTTTGCTAGTTAATTTTTGTATAACTTTCGCATAAATATCATTAATTATTAAATTTCTCTTATTGTATTTTATTAGTCAAGTTAGTAGAAATAGGTTGAATTGCCTTGTAATACCGTTGGTATTATTTTGTTTATTATCGATGTAATATAATTAATATTTATATGGCTGATAAAATAATTACCAAAATACAGGTTTTTGTTGTTCTATCAAAATGACCGCTTCGATTGTTATAAAGGAAAAAAATATACAATTTTTTTTTTTTGTTTTTTCAAATCAACTAAATAATTTTTTTTTTATTATTATAACCAATAAATTTTTTAGTGATTTATTTTATTTCCAAATCCAAGCTAATAAAATTAGGTCTTTATATTTTTATATATTCATTAAAAATATTTCAGTGAATATATTAAAGCATAGCTGGCGTATTTCAATTTTGGCTTACGTGTTTTAATTTTTTAATTTTGTTAAAATGCTTGTGTTCATTAGTGTTAATTACTTAATCGTGGTACATTTCATTACTGTAATTAAACAAAAAGACCATAATGTTACATTTTATTTTCCATTTTTTGTGGACTATGCAGCAGCACATATTACGTATTGGTTAACTTTATGTAATCATGTCTACTATCAGAATGTGTAGTGTATAATTCATTACCAAAATTGGAAATTTAATATTTTGCATTGTACATTAAAGTATATTTTTAGTCTTATATACACGCTTGATCGACGAAATATAATATTGTATAGGTAAATATCAATTTTCTATGATATAGTTTTATTAAAATAGTTGATTAGTGAGTAATATTATACTAAACATGTCACTGGTTTATTGTATTAATTTTGAGAGGTCTTTGCTATAAAATATTATATATTTTGCATGTATTTTTAGTCCCGGTGTTCGGTTTATATCGTATTTCGAACAAAAAAAAAAAAAAAAATCGTCAACAGTCTATGATAATAAAATTAACTAATAACCTTTAGACGCGATGCACATATGCGTTATCTTTACGTAGGTACAGCACCGCTACGGTGCCGCAGACACGCCCGAAAATACTGACATACATAATATTATAATTTATAATGTACTGCACACTTACTCGCTCCAACGTCGCGGCGCCGCATGTCTATCTTGCTGCGCGTAAAAATAACGGAAGTGTACATCGGGCTTTACACCTGGACTATAGCTTAGGCGAATAATTATGTTGTAATATTTTGAACGAAACAATATTGATCGTAGTTTTTTTTATTAAAAGTTTCACAATTATTTTAACAAATTAATTATTTCTAGGTAAACCATTAGCTCTAGCTGGTATCTAATCCGAAATTCTATTATGGTTTGTTATTAGTGTTATTACTTATATAAGTAAATACTTACTTCTATTGTTATGCAGTCCATATGCGTATCTGGATTAGTATAAATTGGATCTGAAATTTTCAAATTACCTTATCTCGGTAAGTTGAGTCACCGAAAAAAAATAGTAAAATAGTTAGTAAAATATTTGTGGTTTTTTAATAACATGTTCTCGATAAAATCTTAAATAATGAAGATTTAATAAATTCAAATCGGGTTTTTTTTTTTTTATAGTGCTTTTATTTAAATTGGGTTATTATATTAATAGTATATTTTGTCATTTGTTCCTTTAAGTTTTGTTCTTTATTGAGCCTAAATTGTTTTTTTTTTTTTTTAAGTGATTTTATTTAAATTTGTTTTTTGTTTTGTACTTCTTAATTTAATATACGTCTCTCATTGTATTTCTAATAGTACGTCAAAAAAATCAAATATATTAGGGACAGACTGATAAGAGCTGTAAAAGCGTCAGTTTAATACAGCACGATATTATTCACAACTCTTTACTATACGATTTATTCGCATGTTGGTAATATTTTAAACAATAATATTTCAATCAACTATTACTTTCTAGTTAAAAACTGATCAGTAATCACTGTCGATTCGTTAAGTCACAATGGAACACACGTAGATATGGGAAGATCTGACTTAGCAGATAATATAATAGTTTAATTTCAATATGGTTTTACACCGATTAGTCATATTTTAATTAATTTTATTGCATGCAGAGTTTTAGTGTTAAAAATATTTTTAAAATTCAGAGGTTAGATACAGGTACCTACGACCTTTTTATACCCAGGACTCATTTTACCGCTTTCAAAATGTACACAAATTATCATTGTCGGCGATGATGCGGTCAACACCTTTTTGGAGGCACTTGCGATCACACTTTTTTTTTTTTTAAATCTAGGAACTTGTTTTACAATACTGACATAATAATAATAAAGTAAAACTTATACTAGAGTAAAATCAAACTTATCTACTTTTATTTTTATAAACAAATTGTATAACGTTATCGATATAAATACGATAATAATAATTATAATTTTGTATTGCAAATGCAAGTTGTATTTTTCGATATAATTATTAATTAGTAAATTCAATTTTATTGAGATATATCAATTGTTAATTGTTATAATTTATTAAGTAAGTTTTTGAAGTTAGTGAATTTTTAAACAATTTTTTAAGCCTTTGTTCTCTTTTATATTATGTTTTTAATATTTTGTCAATTCTGTTGTCGAGTTCCATGTAACATTTTTCCCGTTTTTTTCCTTCTAAATTTAATGAAATTAATGGACCAATTTCTTACTTGGTTGTGTTTCCTAACGCATTTTATCTACAACTGATAAACATATACTTACGTATATCAAAAAATACAACTTGCCTTCCATATATATCATTATAATTAACAATTTGTAAAAAAAATAACATAAAAGGAAGAAAGTTTATTTTACTCTAATACAAGTTTTACTTTATTATTATTATGTCAGTATAGTAAAACTAATTCATAGGTATAAAAAAAAAGAGTGACTACAAGTGCCACCAAAAAGGTATAGACCGTAACTGTGTTGACCGCATCTGTACCGTAATCCAAATTATCGCGGACCCAATTTACCTATCCCCATGTATAGGTAAAGTTTTAATTTTTTACTAAGTTTTAAATTAATAAATTTTAGTACTAGTATGTGTACCAAGTTGTAAATATAGCACAGTGTTAAGTAATAACATTGAATAACGTGATGATAAAATAGCAGTAAAGAAAATATTATTTTTTTACTCATAGATCGTTTAATGAATTTTTTTGGTAACATAGTTATATGAAATATATTATTATAAGAGTTTTATTAATTAAAATTGTATTATCAATGTTAATAACTTATTATTTTTTAGTAGTATTTTTATTTGTTTTAATACATAAGTAATATTTTTATTTTTTTTTTTACTTTATAATAGATATACTATGAAACAATTTGCTGAGGCTTTAATTAAATGCGAATCAGACGAACAGCGTCGCAAACACCTAATTGAATCACTTGATGATTTGTCATTTGATTATCCCGATGTTTACTCAATGCTATTTAAGGAGATGAAAATAAGAGAACTGGAAGCCAACGATCCGAACAAAATCTCCGAATGGCTAAGCACTTCTAACACGTCAAACTCAATTGTGAAAATTCATGAAGCCTTGCTATTAGTTAAAAATGACGAAATGATGGTTAAAGAAGAACACCTAGATAATTTAAAGCATATGCTTTGCCGCACAATAGAAAACGGAACTCACATGGAGGAGGTTGTAAAAATATGCTATTTGATTGAGAAATCACCATCCTTAAAAACCATACACGAGTAAGTAAATTTTCCACCAATAATTAGGTACAATGTTTCAAATAATACACTCTATTTTTATTTTATAAGCGCTATTTGGTCTTTGTTAGTATAACAATAAAAAAGAAATACGATAATAAGGTCAAGCAGTCCCTAAGGCATGGCGTGCGGGACCCTCACTACAGGTGGCGTCGTTCAAAACTACACACCATTTATAACCACATGTTCTAAACTATTTAATACCACGCAAATTTTTTCTATTGTTAAGGAGAAAAATTTGGAAGGCCAATAATTCAAAAAAGCTCATATTTAATTAACAGTTAAAAATTAAACATTCATCATCATTATAGAAATCGTCGTAATAACAATTTAATATATGAAATCATAAAATAAATCTAAATTAGATTTTTATCTTGATATTAATTGAAAATAATTATACTTGAAAGCAATTCAATATATTGTAAGATAAAATAAAGTATGTATAGTAAATAATAATACTTAGATATGAATAAATGTATACCCTAATATTTTCAAATACATATTATATTAAAATAAATAAATTGCATCGTATATTATTTTATGATTTTGATTTAATGTGATAATTGATGTGTAATTCTAAACGACGATATTATTTTAGATAAATATGTACCTTATTGATACAAATCAGTGTGTGTGAGTGTGTGGTGTTGAACGGTTTGATTTTGGAAAAACTTTGAAGAATTAATGTATAAAATTATATGGATTTGAATGATGGCTCTTTTTTTCTTTTTTTGAAAGTGTGAGGTCATGATATTATGACAACGTAGCACTACGAGTCCGTCACTTTTATAGATACAATAAAAATTCAAGTTTATGTAGTATTTTCGACCAAAAAAAAATGTACAATATTTTTTCATGTAAACTTATTGAATGGAATATAACACGTAGATATGTTGCTTATAATTTATATTAATAAATATATATGTGTAATATATATATATATATATATCATGTTATTAATTCGGATAATATTTTTGGTGGCCAATATGTAGATTATACTTAGGTAAGTACTTAATACGAGTAATACCTATTAATATATTAATTTTTCGGAAAATTATGATGGCGTGAACAACAGCTCATTGCTGCTATTAGTACCATCAAACTAAAGTATGATGACACATAAGACACATTATACTGATTTAAAAGGCTGGAAGGTTTATGATACATTTTTATCGTGTTTTACCATTTTTATTTTTATTGTTTTAATATTATTTTATCGTTATGTAATATCAAGTATTAATACATGTGTGTTATTAAATTATTTATTATTATATAACTATATTTTTTTATTGTACTTCAAATATTTTATAAAGTTTTAGATATTTCACATTGAATTACAATTTATTCAAATAGTTAATGCTTTTAACTTCAGTCCACTATACTAGTTACTAAAAAAAAAGTAAATTTGGTCAAAATATTTCAAAATGTGTTATAACTTTATGCTCATTTTTTTCATAACATGATCATTCTAGTCATACTTTTTTATAGTGTAAATAAAAGTATTCATTATTTAATTAATTATCATGTAGTACAGACAACTGATCACGTAATGTGCGCATTGCCAACAACCGCATAACTCGGATGGATGCGCATTGAAAGTTTGTTTAATGAAGATTTTTTTTAAATGCATATAGGTTTCTATAGTTACTTTCGCAAAAGCTTTTCGGGACATTGGATTTTTTTAGAGTATAAAAAAAAATGTCTTTAATTTTAAATTAAGAGTTCTGATAAATTTTTTAGAGCTCCATTAGGTATACTTTTATATGTCACTAATTATAATGTAATTTAATGCCTCAAAATTTTACTCTATCTCGAGCCGTATAAATCGTTAAGACGGTCCTAAATAAGGTGTATATTTATATAAATTTATTGACAGATTTATAAAAAATAAAAGTTTTAAGTTATAAATGTATATTTAAATCAAATATATTTTATTAAATAACAAGTTTAATTACCTAACTGCTAAAATTTATAAACACAAAAATATATATTTATATATAAATATAACTCATCTATTTTAACTAAAGATATAGCTTTCTTCTATAGCAGCTTATATTAATTAATTATAGACTTTTGAAAAATCTTGTTAAACGAGTAAAACAGCTGCCCAACGACAATAATTACTACACAGACACAGATCATTTTTGGAAAGATTTTTTTAAACGAACTCAAATCGACCTTTCCAAAACCCTCGATACTCAAAGTGCTCAACAGCAACAAAAATATAAACAGGACGCACATGCATGGAATAAAATCAAACACTTACATTTAAATCCTTTGAACGACCTTCCTAACTTTGACTGTAAGAATTATTAAACACATTATACACAGATTTTTTAATGGTACAGTATTATCATTTAAAATTATGTACAATTTTTATTTCAGTGAAATGTTTTGGTAATAACCATCTCGAAATGGTTGCAGCTGCTCATAGGCGTAGCATTTTGGACAACCAAACGATCGTTGATCAAGATATGGATGGAGCATTTACCAAATGGCTTCACTTCTGTAAGTTAAAAAAATACCAATGGTTTTTTAATAACCTCAGCTACCTTGAAATTGTACTTATTGACGAGGAAAATATCGAAAAGCTTATAGCCAAGGTGAATAGGGACTCCACGGAGGAAAATTACATTAAAGATTGTGATCAGAAGAAAATATGCGAGGAGACTAAAGCTTTGAGACACAGACCAATAAAATTAAACAATTTGATAACGGTAATCACGAAACTAAACGTTTTAAATTGAAATATTTTTAATGCATTAGGTATGAATAATTTATCAATACCTGATTTCAAATGAATTGCAGGCCTTAGAGTCTAACGTAAATTTGGATAATATGAGCAAATTTATTACATACATGCGGAAGATACTTCATTATCCCATCCCGAATAAGAACTGTGTTATCGACGAACAACTACAACAAGATATAATCACCGTTATGGATAAATTTATGGATCATCTAATGAAAAAACTTGATACAGTTGAATTCCTTGCTGCCAAAAGCCAGCTTGGAGTTATAATTAATAAGTACCTAGAATGCATATCGCTAATTAACGGAAATCAGACATTCATAGATCATCATATCAACTTACTATATATTTTCGATGATGTACTGAAGAATAAAGTTCTTAATATGCACAGAGACTTCAATTAAGTATAATATAATTAACTATCCCGTGTGTTTTATACGATTTTCTTAACTTTACATCATTGTTTTGTAATCAAGAAATCATTGTTCTTGTTTTAATTACACGTAAATTGAAAGAGTCAACAATGTTGACAAATAGCTGTTTATCTGCCAAATATACTAGTCAAATATTAATAGAACAAAACTTTCGTTGATTATTAAGTAGTAAGTAGGTATTTATTGTTTGTTCTATCGCTTAACTATCAGTCAACCATCTGTCGAAAATCTTTTATTTAAATATATGCAATTTATGGTAAATATTTCTCTGTTTCACGATATCTTGAATAAAGTTAATCTAGTACATGATCGTTATAAGTATAACCTATACCTATTTATTAAAAAAGGATCATAGGTACTTATTATTTATTAAAAGATTTAAAATGTACCTTACCTACTTTATTATATTATTAACATAATATTATGAAGTGTAATGTCATGTTAAACGCCAATAATCGTCAAACCGATTTTATATACTTTATTTTAAAATATTATTAAAATAAATTTGAGTTATTCATTATAATAATTAATGTTGGTTTTAAATATTTATAAAAAATTATCAAAAATTAATTATATAACAATGGTGAAGGAGGACTGTAATATTAAAGGTCTTAAGATAACCAAGCTATTTTTTAATATGTATGAAATATTGTATTTTGACTGAGTTAAAATTAATTTTTTATGTATTATTATTTACATCTATTTGAAAGTTTTGTATACAAAAAAAGTTAGATTGCGATCCTGAAAGCCTGTTACCTGGTGGTAGAACGATATCGGATATAGTGGGGACAAATGTATTTCATTTTTTATCATTTAACTATTATTAATATATTATTTAGTATTTATACTATTAAAGTTTAAAGTAAATATTATATTTCTTCATGAAATAATATCTATTGGCCAAAGCCCAGGATTAAGGATCGATTGGGCCCCAAGACACTATAAAGTTAGTGGGCCCCTTCCAACTTTAACTTCAAAAAAATTGTATCACTACATTTTAAAACTGTATATTATTGTATAATTTTGTACAGTACAAAATATATATATATAACTATATAAATTAATAATTATGTAATAATTTATTATACACATAGTAAATTAAATATATGTATCTTCAATCTTCATATATATAAAAGAACAGCCCTTTTTTATGTTCCCGTTTTGTGACAACAGTATTTAACAATTTTCCAATTCTTTAATTCTTTTTTCGGAGAGTTGTACCAAATACTCTTACGAATGATCATTATATTTTTGTTTTATTTATAATTCAGCTACTATTACTATTTAGTACTTGATAAAATTAAGTAAAATTTTGAGAAAGCAAAAACTACACACGGGCGAAGCCGGGTTATTCAGCTAGCATATATATATATATATATATAGATATATAGACATTGTATTTGTTAAAAAGAATAATAATTTAAAGTTTTTTCCTTTGCAAATTCTTTTACAAATTATTGAATAATTTCATTGAAATTAATCAATTGCAAAAAATCATTTTTTGAGTATAATATGATTATAAATTATAAACAATTTATTTTAACTCGAGTAAAATTTGACTATACCTCTCATGGAATATCATAGTTAATTAATGATACCACAATTTCAATGACCAATCAAAATATACTACAAGGAACACGACATGACAACAGACAATTAAACTGTGAATCATATTTAAAATATGCTGTACTAACTATGTATGATGATGTAGTAGTCAGCCCATATAATGCTAAGTAAAAATAATATAGAAATATAAAAAAAAATTACAGTGGATAAATAATTTTCATAGTTATTTTATCGATAAATCATCATTGGAATCATACATTAAGTTATCAATATTTTAGTGTTTGATTGATATATACAATTAACCTCAGTTAAACAATGTTATCCTTCATATAAATATACTTATATCACTATTATAATAATACATATTAATATAAAAATTAAACTACATATAAAATAAAAACTAAACTACAATATAATTAATATAATAAAATTAGAAAGTAAATATAATTTAATAATAAGTTTTTTTATTTTTTTGTTGTTCTGCTACATTTAATTAGATTAATGAATTATCCAATGTATTAAAAAATGTTTAATCACACTAATCTGTAACATAAAAATAGATAATTATTAGCCACTAGTTTAACTAGTAGCCAAAATAAGCAATTAAACAAAATCAATAAATTTATCCAATACAACAAACAACCTTCAGCCAATATAATTTTTAAACAATTATTATAAGATTAAAACTATTCCTTTAAAATAGTTTACTAACAAAACAATAACACAACTGGACCGAAAAGTAAGTTTAACTTTAATTTTGTAAGTTAAAATTTAAATAAGTAATTTGTTAAAATATTTACAGTTATAACTGTTTTATAAGAACGATTCCAATCAAAAAAATTTTATCAACCTGTGTTATAAACTATTAAACTATACAAAATAATTTGCACATTTTTGTGATTTTAACAAATTTGAACTACAAATGCTTATAAAAATAATTTATAACTATATTTTTTTATATTTTTAAATAACTATAGTGAAAACTTATGAGAAACTTTATATTCAATTTTCAAACTTTATTACTAAAAGTAAATTTTTTATTATTATTTATATGTATAAAAAAAAAGTATTTATATATATATATATAATATTAGTTACTAGCTCAAAAAGGCTATTTTTTATAATTATATGTACATAGAAAATACTATATACTAACATTTTTTGAAAATGTAAAGTATATCATATGTAAGATAGCATATATAGTTCGTTTTAGAGTCACGACAAAATTAGAAAATCAAAGCCTGGTTTTTAATAAAAAATCTCATTTCTTAATTATTTAGAAAAATATTAAAAATGTTCAACTTTGACATCTAAAGCATCAGCTAGATCTAACTATAACACACCATCCTCAAATTTTAATACCAAAATATTTTTTTTTACTAATATCGTGTACTTTTGTTCCCTAAAACTATAAAATAAGTTTGTGGTTGTTTTAAACACAATACATGATTAAAAAGCGTACCTATATGATCAAATTATGTTAAGGGTCTTTAAATAATACTACTTCTAATAAAGCTTATTATTCTATTACAAGAACAAATATTTTTGAATCATTCCAATGATTTTTGATAATAAAATGATTGTATAAAATGTTATGATAACTCTCTTGTTAAGAGATCTATCTAATAATTATAGCTAAATCAAATATTCTATGGTTACAAAATGTATCAGTGAATTAATAAATATCAACTGCAATTGACAGATAACCCAAACACAGTACATAATATTTAAAATTAAATAGACCAGCAACAAAATGATATGCAGTTTTAAATACTATAATTCCTTACAATCTATCATCTGACATTTATAATCCTGATTGTAAAACTGAATCTCGTTACCTGAATCTGATGGATTAATTGAAATTTTATTCAATTTTCGCTGGAGTTTTTCAATATTATATTGAATTATTTTGTTCATTTCCTTGTCAGGGACCAAAAATCGTGGTATCACTTCAATTTTCTGAAAAACAATAATCATATTTCATATAGGATATCGGAAACAACATTTTTGGTAAAAAAATATTCTTCTTAATCTTCAATTAATAATTAATTTAGTTTATTTTAGAATTATTATAATAAAAAAAATATATTTTAAATTAACATTAGACAATAATCTATTATTATTATTTATTTCAATTTATCATCTGCAGATCATCAATAAGTTAAAAATGTCGATACAATTGTGTTTGATTTTTAATTCATGCCGTTCTTAGGTGGAGATTTGACATTATTTATGCGATTGACTAGTATTTTACTACAGAACAATGTGATAAATATAAGATTCAACTCCACACTACCAAATGCATCCTTGGATGCTAAAATATATTAAAAAAATTAGCATAGATAATCCTCTCTCTCTTGAAATAGAAAAATTGTATACCTAATTGTATGTTCAATATTGTATTAGATTTTCATTCAAAAAATGATCTAAAGCTACAAAAAGACATATTATTACATAGAATTAATACCTATATGTAATGTGCTCAATGCTGTATTATAAAATTACAATACGTTCACCTAATCCAAATTATAATGCGTGTAATCCTAAAAAAAGTTTTGTTATTCACATGCACACAATTTCGTAGAATCAAGAAAATTTCAATATAATTATTTGTACAGTTCTAAACCTTACCTTACTCGTAGATTGATAGTTTGGCAAAATTGAAACTTTACTTATTTTTAGATGATTAGAAATTGAATTTTGATATAAAGGTTCAGCATACCCAATTCTTATAATAGCTAGGTACAAAACATATAATATAATTAATTATGCATTGTCAATTGATTTACACTAACAGCATTGATCTGTTTTCCACGAATGGGTAGGTACATAATACATATAAACACAAAATACTCACACTTCTTTAATTCACTCATTATAATATCGATCGTGGTTTTTAATTCTCTACTTATGCAAAGTGTTACCGGTTTAACATTCGTGTCCAACATAAAATTTTCTCTGACCGTTAACATTTGATTGTTGGTTAAACTATAAAAAATCGAAAGTGCATTACTAACCCATAATATGTAAATTATTAAAAGCTAAGAAAACATGATCATTTCGATGATCCAATCTCTAAGCAAATAGTTAAATTCTATTTTAAATATGATTAATGCTATCGATTTCTTATGAAAAAGATTAATTTTTAAGATATAGTCAAATACATTCACATACAAAATAATTTATAATTGACTACTCGTCTATTAATTGGTACGTGTAATAACTAAATTATCAAATCGAAACATGTTAATAGTAAAGGACTTAACAGTACGGTTATAGTAGTGTTTTATTATTTCAGTTACGATATTTTTGCAGAGTATAATTGAACAAAAAACTTAAAATTTGCCAGATCCTCATTATCGTTTAATTTTTACGGACGAATCAGAGAACTAATTGAAATAAAATCATGGTGTTGAAAAAGAAACCAAATAAGTCACTACATCGCAAATAAAGTTTCATTTCATTTTTGAGATAAATGTGATAATTCAATAACATGAACATTCATACTCAATTACTGCTTATTGAGTTTATATATAGAAAGTTTAATTACAAACAAGGATATTTTGGTTTTTGCGAACTTAACTGTATTACAATCATCTTATTCGATGCAAACCATTTTTAAGGATTTCAATATATAGATAAATTTCTAAGTGAGTATATACGTGCAGTATAAAATATGTGTGCTTTACATATTGGGGTTTACATATTATACGTATGACTGTAATATATATAACTACATAATTATTAATTTTTTTTTTTTTGTTAAAATGTAAATAAAATAAATATGAAAAACTTTCCAAATATATAACCAACCTAGTAATTTTATAGCGTTTCTGAAAACATATTATTTTAATTTGTCAAGAATTTTCCTTGAAATTGAATTATATTTTGTAATTAGTTAATTAATTTAGATCAATTAGGAGGGAACTGCCCTATATGTGAAGTACCCCTTTGTAACGCTGCGATACGCGAAAAAAAAATGTTTATTTTAAATTTCAAAATTTAATTCTGAAAAATGAATAACTAAAATTGGTTTAAGATCATCTACTTTGTTGGAAAACAAGTGGAATCATATTTTTTTTAACATCAGTAAATTATAATATTATAATAATAAGCTTATAAGTTTGTTATACTATCCGTACTTTGTCATGTCTAGATCAACCATGTTTTTGTCTTTCAAAACAGATTCAGAAAAATTCAAATAGAAACTGTATTTTTTTATTAAATTATCCATTAACAATTTATTTGTATTCAACTCATTCAATTTTGTTTTGTAAATCATATCCACATGACCCAAACATTTTTTTTTGCTTTTGGTCAATTTTTCTTGCATCCTGTAACGCATATTTCAACATAATAATATTTATTTTGATTGTTTAGAATTTCAACAATCACATCAAAAAAATCATTGTTAAAATAATAATAATAATTCTCAAATAGATAGATTGTTTTCAAATATACTTAGTGTTAAGTTAGGTATATCTAATTGAACACTTATAATACAGACTAAATGTATTTGCAAATATAATACACATTTAATTCTTAAATATTTAAAATTTTACAATATGTTTAAATTTTATTGAATTATCTAATACTCACTTATTAAATTTGTTTGTTATTTCTTTTTTTACTTTAAGCTTCTCAGTTTTCAATTCATTTATATTTGTCACAAAATGTGCTCCTACTTGTTTTATAAAATGTAATTTATCGCTATTGAAAAAAACATTAAAAAATTTAAGAAATTCAAATAGAAAAGATTAATTTTTTATAAATCAATAAAAAAAAAAAAATTAGTTCATTGAAATTATAATCATTTTGAACATACTATAAATCAACTTTACTCTTCATCAAACGTTCCCTAATTTCCTCCATAACTATTTCAATGTCTTTAAACTCATGGGAACGGTGGAAAATTAACTGGCAAAAACTGCATTGGAATTGATTGCATGTGACACAATAAATTTCAATAAACTTCTGTAACGTAAATTACAAAACTAAATTATGTAACATTATTAAGATACCACTATAAGATTTAGTTTTAAATTATTTCTAACAAACAAATAACAATGCAAAAAAGATATTCAAGGCAAAATATTTTTAATTGGTTTTATTTTTGTTAATAATAGATAATTTAAGAAAAAATATTTCTAAAAATTGATTTAATTCTTTAAACAATTAATGCATTTTCATAAAAAGAAATAGCTTTCATTTTTGATTAAGCATTTCATTTTCAAAAAATATAATTATTCTTATTTTGTATTTTGTTTAAAGCAAAGATACTTTTTATTTTATAATTTATAAATAGCCATATAGGTACATTAACTTACGCCTCCTTTACAATATGAATTAGAACATGGAGTTTTTGTTCTATATAAACCATATACTGCTTTCTGAAATATTTGATCCACATAATTATCTCTTAGGACACTCTGTATCAACATATGGTTAACAAATTAAAATCAAATTTATTGTATAATTTATTTGGATAATATTTTATACAGGCGCAATTGATAAAATGAGAAAGGGTGTAATTTGATTGCTTATGAATTCGCCAAGAAATGGTGAAATGATTTTAACAAGTAATTTGATCATCGAACATAGTTACTATCTTATATTGAAATTTAAAATTGTACCAAGTATTAAAGTATGTGTACTATGTACAATAAACTAATCCCTCCATTATTGGCCCAAATTTTTCATTAAATTGCGATTGTACACAGAGTATAAAATCAATAAAAAGCTAATATACGAGTATAAGGAACTAATGATTACTTCATTAAATTCTTCACAAGAGAAAGTGCAATTGATGAGTCCGTTTGAAATATTAGTTTCCACTCCACACTTGCAAAGAAAATTTTCTTTATCTACATTGAACAATAAAAATATAATGATATTTTATTTATTTTTGTATTCGAATACAACTAAATGCATTTTAGTATTCTAATATACATTCATATTCTGAATAGGTTGTTTACAATTTATTTATTTAAATAAAAAATTAATCATTGGTATCTATTTTAATTTATAGAATGAATAATTATTATATGTTTTACAAAAAAAAAAGTTTGTATTTAAATATAACCCACTTGAATTATCATGTTCTTATAAATAACACTCTATATCTTTAGCGTCAGGATCGAAAATGAATGGTATTAAATCCATTATTATTTTGGGTATACACATTTGTTTTGTTTTTAATATTAATTATTTATATATATATTATTAGATATTTCTCTAGATATTATATACTAAATTATATTATAGCAAGTTAATAGTTACAATGAGTTATATAGTAATACAGCAACAACATAACGACAGTCTATGATAAAGATTGGCACTAGACGTTAATAATAATAGATACATAATTGTTATACGTTTACTGCCAGTACGGCAGTACCACTCAAAAACAACCGACGCAATGACGGCATAAGTACATTAGAAATCCGTTTGTTACTATATAAATAATTTGTTTTTTTGAGTTTTTTCAAATTTTATTTTCGTAATATATTTTATTATAGTATTAATTATCAAAATAAAGAAAAAATCTTCTTTTTTTGGGTGGGGGTTGTTTTTAAATAAAACACGTTTATGTTAAGTTATGATGATTATTGATTAAAATGATAAAATGTTGAATTGCAAGAATTTATTAACAAAAAATTATCATATTAACTAAAACTATTTAAAACTATTTAAGTATTTTTTTTTAATCTTTAATTTGATTTTATAGCTTATTCTTAAATACTTCATGAACTAATACTACTATAATAACATTAATATTGTAGATCAAATTATAGATATTAAGTATGTATAAAAATATTATTTTACATATTTAATTATCAAAACTATATAATATATTTTGTGTATCGTGTACCTATAGATAAACATATTATCAAAAAATCTCACCTGGAAGAGTTTCATTAAAATCAAAACATTTATTGCACACGCCATGAAGACAATGCAAAAATTTTGAAGTATGGCTTAAAGTCGACGAGCAAATAACACATAGGTTCAATTCCCAAAGTTTTTCGTCATTAGCACTGAGTTTAGATTTTTTTCTGGCGGATCTCATTGCGAAGATGCTGTAATTCAAAAAATATTTTTGTTTACTTACTGTCATAAATTTGTGTAACTATAGACTATAGATTAATATAAAATTACCTTCGTATATTGGGTAATATAGATTATAGATAAAATAATATTTTATAGTAAAGTATTGTTAAAGTATAATGAATAATATATATTTATTCTATAATATTTATGATATTAGAAAATATAATTATTTATTTTTTTTATTTTTGTATCACTTGTTTTCGGAAACTTTACATCAAAATAAATGAAAAAAATTATTCATCCACCAAGCCGCCTCACCTCACCATCACTCGTGTACGTCATTCAGTTAACTTACGACGACGCGACGGTACGACAAACGACAAACGGGGATAAATATAGTAAAGAATTAAAAAAGCAATAACAACATTTGTAATAAGCGAAATAATAATATTTATAATTCATAAACTTAAAGACTATGAAAATTTTAAAACATACTTAGAGTACTGTTAAAAGCTGCGGATTACAGTTGTACAGTTACAGGTCAGCGGCTGTCAATGGAATGGATAGGTTTGTGATGCTAATGTGAATAATAAACGCTGTAAACGAAGAGTGAGTGGCAATAGCCCAAATGTTAGAATGCAGGAGTTTACGACTATGATACGTTATCATAGTCATTGTTCAACTGCTCCAGCGCGCACCCTACCACAAACAAGTCGACGCCATAAATGTTGCGGCGGAGCATAATACTAGGGTAGGAATTTTCGATGATGTTTTATACGTTACAGCTGCAAAATATATAATAACAAAACCACCCTGAATTATACAGAGTGATCACCGAGCAAACTCATCGCCCTTTTTACTTCAATAATACAGTTATTCAAAAACATTATTTTTGTAATTTTTAAATATATTTACATCATATTTTAAAATTGTAGGGATTTTTATTTTTACTTTTTAATAAGTGTCCTGTGGTAGATATAAACTTCCGTTTATAAAAATAACGATATCTCTTTTATACAGTAAATTATTTAGAGGAAAATTTTTCTGAATATGTCGAAATATTATCAAATTTTCAATTTGCACAAGTAGTTTTTGAGTTATCTATTTTAGTATATTTAGGATAATAGGTCTACACGGTGGGTTAAAAAGGTGATATAAGCTATTTTAACTATAGAATTTAAACATTAACAATTTTTATTAATGTTTATAATTTATAAAATTCGATATTTTATCTATTTTATACGCTTGTAAAACTATCTTCATTAACTTTTTATTAAATAAACATTTTAACATCTGAAAAACTACTCATTCAAATTTTGAATTAGATACATAAATATTTTTTTTTTTAAATTATTCACTAAATAATTTATAGTAAAAATGAAAGTATGTATCACAAAAGAACACTCCTATAGCATAAACAATTTCAAGTGTTTGAAAATAAGATGTAGACTGTAATGTAATAATGTACAAAAATTCCAAAATTTTAATTTTAATAAATTCATATTTAAATAAATAAAGGGACAAGAGTACACTTGGTAAATCACTTTGTATATTTATTTTTATTGCATTTCATATAATACTAATAAACGACAAAAACCGGGTACAGCCCGGTTTTACAATAACCCATGGCTACGGAATGGAAAAAAATATAAAACATGTCTTTATGATACGATTGTCGTGGAATTTGATAGGGTCCTACGAGCACAATATGTAAATATGTAGTTACATATTCAGTTGATTTCTAATGAAAGACATTTGTATACGTCAGTTTATAAACGACTACAATAATATAAACCAATAGGTTATTATATTAGGTATTATATAGTTTTTTAATAGGAATAAATTACGTGCATTGTGCAAGTATATGTATGTGTGTGTAATATGTTATAATATAAAATTACCAACAATTAATTTTAATATATTCATATATTTTTTTTAATTTTCAAAAAAATATTTAAAAAATAAATATTTAACTGATTATTCTAATTAACTTTGACTTTAAATATTATTATGTATTTTATAATTCAATTCAGCTATATATTTGAAATACTTTTATTCAATGTTTTTTGCATATTATAATAATGCGACATTTCATTAATACTCCTATGAATGTAGTTTGTAAATAAGTATTTTAAATAAACAAAAAATATTATTTTTTAGTGAATAGTTTTTCTTCTACTTATGTAAACGAAAAATATGTTAAGCCACTACAGACTCGATATGGTTTTTAAAGTTACTTTTACATTTTATATAAGATAAACTTTCACTGTTGTACATTCAAATCCACGACCTATTATAAACACATGCAGTTTTATGTTTTTCTTATTTTCCTATAATGTGTTGTTTGAGACTCAACAAATACAAATAAACATTTTACTTTAATTTATATTGTCGTTCGAAATAATAAAAACTTAAAATATGATAATAAATAAATGAATTATAAATACTTATTGGACTGTTTTAATCGTATTGTGAACGAATGCATCTACAACGGGTGACATTATGTAGATGGTAAATCAATAATAATAGTTAATAATGTATATTGGAGAAGAACGATTATTACACGATTACTGAATAGTTACACAGAACAAAAAGAGAAAGGGTCCATCCCGGACTGGCAAATGACAACAGTTCGATAAAATAAGAATGGAATGTTATTATTTACAATATTGGTTGTTAGAACCGGTCCCATCTATAAAATATGTTGTAGGAGTGCACAAACAACGTACATCTACGATTTTTCGTATGACGATTTTAAAATTGTCAACAACCTCATCATGCATTAGTTACTTAAGAGGACGCCGTACCCGCATATGTTGTCTCCGTCTTACAAATGCGTAACATGGCAAATATAGTACTCTCAGAAGATCACGTTTAGCTCCTTCAGCTGAAAATTAGATTGAATTGACCTCTTTTGAAATTTAAAGTGAGATTATTATCTAAGGCATTTCATAGGCTTTTTATTATATTTTAATTTTAAAGCAAGTTATAATATTTTAAAATTGTAAATTGACGTCTTAAAACACAATTACGCTTTAAAATTAAAATATAATAAAAGCCTATGAGTACTAGATAATAATCTCCTCTTCAAAGATCAATAATCTCTAATTTTCAAGCTGAAACTAAACGTCGATCTTCAGGCTACTATTGCCATTACTATGAACAGAAGACTAACTATATCTGAAAGTACGACGTCCTCTTAAGGAGACGTGTAGTAGTATTTATGTTTGGTTTTATAGATTGAAGCCTAGAAGTATAATTAAAAGATATGGGCACTAACTATTTTTAGAAGTCTTTGTTATTATATATCTTATTCTCAATTTATTTTCTTTAATTTCATAGTATTCTGGATACTTACCTTCAATATAATTTACACCATGTTAATTCACAGGGGCGTCAGTTTAGGAATATAAGTATAACTTAAGTCATTTTTCTCCAGTAAGAAATTAAAAATACGATGAATATATTTTTCTAGCTAAAAAAAAATGTACAATCATTAAGAATTATATATTTTTTTTTTAGAATTTAAGACATTTCAGTAACAAATGAATATCTACTTAAATAAAAGATATACTAAGCCATTTGAATAATTATTTTACTTTTTGTAATTATCTATAAATATTTTTATTTTAACCACGAATTCATGACTAAAATATAATCGGTAACCTATAAAATATATAATGTAACTTTAACTTTATAATGCGGTACATAATAATAAACAACACTAATACTGATTAAAATATTGGTAAAATAAATTCATTTTTACAGAAAAATGGATTTTTAAGTACTAGAAAATGTTTGGTGTAAAATGGACAGTGAAGTAAAACGGATCCACTTGTGAACATAAATTTTTACATAAATGAACATATAAATTAATTTATTATAATACTTTATTTTATTTCGATACACAATTTTCTAAAAAGTACATTTTTTTTAAATTTTGTGATGATGTTTTTGATATCTATAGTATTTTGTGAGTAACTTTAGTTTAAATTGATAAATATTGATTTGATACATTCTATTTAAGTTATTAAACGTAATATCTTTCACATCAACAACATCCGATCAGACTTTGATCTGTATACACTCATATTAAACTATACGAAGTCCAACCCGTGAACATGCTGTATCTACGTTGAATATTGTGAGGGTTTTATTGTACACACGAAACGAAAAATTATTTTTATAATATTCTAGGACGTACCTTTAATACCAGCATTTTCATTACCTCCGTCTTACTAACAAATAACATGACAAATTTAACATTAAACAAGAATCCATTTTACATTATTTTATAGTTTATACTAATTAAACCTTATGTTAATGGGTAAATCTAAATTAAAATTAAAATTTGTTTTATTATTTTATAGGTACGGAATATAGTTTTCTTAAATACTATTTCACATGCCAAGAAATAGCTGTTTGCAAATAAAATCTATTAGACATGAACAATGTGATAAAATTAGCAGATGGTAGACAATTGACACTGAGGGAAGTAGCTATTATAGTAATAATTCGGTTGCGAGCCCTCAAAGGTACCAGCATGTCATTGCAAGACTAGTTGTAATAATAATAAGCATTGTGCCTACCTTGGGGCTGAAAAATTATGTTATATTAAATGTCATGGGAGTAAAACTTGTAAAAATAAATAAAAAATAATAATGTATTTTTTCTATTTTTAAAAATATCTAGGTATCTACATAATTTAATTATAAAAGAATTTAAAAACTATTCATGATAAATTTAATTAAATAAATGATACCTGTTATTTCTGTATAAGTTCTACATTGTTTAAACATTAAAGTAATTGAGTACTCATGATTTATAGATTTTATAAGAATGAAATAACAGCTCACCAAGCATTCTCCATAAATTTGGGTGAGCAACTTGTATAGTTTGCTTCAGGGTGGAGTGAAAACTCTCAACATTGTTGTTAGTGCGACGAGGTTGCCCATATACCGAAAAACAATCTGGGCCTTTTCTGGTAAACCAAAAACTAAATCACCAGTTAAATTACAAGCATTATTAAAAAAATTATACTTCAACAAAAACTAGATTTTATAACAATGTAGTTTCTATACAGGTACAATATAATTTACCTAGACATATAAGTGAAGAATCTGGGTAATAATACTCCATTATTTTGAGCATGGTCTTTAATTTCTTGAAACCCCATTTCAATTTGATGTGCAGGTAATAAAACCAAAACTGCACACATTTTTAAGCACATCTTTGCCTCTCTATCCCGTTGTATATAACGTGAGTAGCTCATTTTCTTTATGTTTTTTTGTAAACTCTAAAATTAAATTTATATTTCATAAATACATCAAGTGAGAACATGAAAATAAATTTATGCAATATGGAACTTCAGAAAAGATTTTAAATTTTATATCTGCACATAATGGAACCAGCACGAATACACGTGTACTTCTGGATACATATAATTTAGCTAGAATTTTGTTTTTATTGGTTTTAGTTGAATATTTTCTTACGTTTTTATCAATATGATAATACATAAATATCATAAAATAATGTAATATTTAATCATAACTAAACATAATGATAACAAATCAACGTCGAACATTTGAACCAATATTTGACATTTGTGAAGTATTTGACGTTTAACGTAATATGCGGGTTTCAAAGATTGTATAATGTATAATATACATTAATACATTATTATAATATGTCTCGCAGTAACCATACGTTGATAATATTGCTAGTGAATAAATAATACTTAAATACAGTTTACTGAAGCAGTTTAACTAGTTTGCATTTTAAGAAATTCATGTTGCAAGAAATATTTTATAAGTCATTATGAGATAATATAAAAAATTGTATTTGATATAAACATGTCCCAAGATTTGTATTCGATGAAAAACTATTTTAATAAGTGGTGAAGATATATTTACATACAATATAATAAATAATAATTAGTTTGTATATTTTAATACCAATATAGCCATTATAGGTAGATCATAACATAAGGTACTTATAACAAAATAATATGTCTTGAACTATAGATATTATTAGAATGACATACAGGGTCGCGGAATTATAGTAAAATAGATTTAAAATATGTTTTAACTTGTAATATTTATTTTCGTAGATAAGATCATAGATGCAAATCGCGATGAAGCTGAGGCAACATACTATTATACACTATATATATATATATTTTTTTTTTTTTTTTATTGCTATTACTGCGGTGCTTCGTAATACGAACACGAAGAGGCCAACTACAAATATATAACAATACATTTTTACATAAAAACATTATATTTTAATACGATTATAAAATACAAATTGACAATGTATATTATGCAGAGCAATCAGTTTAAAAACAATGGGTAGACAACGTCTCTTTGTATCATAGGTAACTTCTCCACTGTGCCATGTATTAAGTTTTACATTCACTTAAAATTTTTAATTTGTCATCGTTGAAAATACTACATTATTTTTAAAACATAATGAATATTTTTCTTTATATCTGTGATAGTCAATGACATCTCCTTCACGCAACTCCCAATGAAATATTTTGAATGCTTTTTACACGGATCGTCGAGAGCTTTAAGCTTTAATTCTTAGGTATCAATTTTTTGGCGATTTAAAACGTTATTGTCGTGTTTATCGTGTTTATGATTAAGATAATAAAAATTATTTTACTATTTTAGTCAATTTTCAAATAACACTTGCATAAACGTTTTGAACACAACCCACAACCACCTCTGAACATACAAAATTTTTTAGATAGCGTATTTGTATTTATTAATATAATATAACAGCTAATTTTTTTCACTGAACGTTTTAATTATTTCAAAATTTTCAATTGCTAATTTTAAATAAGTATGAATAAAAATATATATAACCATGACGATTTGTCGAACAAACGAAATATCAAAGTGTGACTAAATGTTGATATGAACAAAATTAATTTCCAACAATAATTTGTAAGGTGGTAGTTACAAATAAAATATCGATAATTGAGATTATCAACGAGTTTATCACAAAATATTATTTTTAGTGTCGCTGAAAACCCAAGGATGTAGTTTGTATACGTCGCGAGAAAACCGCAGAGGCAATTCGAATGCGCCGGTTTTTATGCAGTAGTGCAAAGAATCTCACAATCTTCGTACCGTCTGGGTTTTCAACATTGTTGAAAATCGCCGCTCTAGTGTAACTATTTTAATAATTTTTTAAATCGTATTTTTAAATTTATGTCGCGTGAGCGCTAATCTCCTTTTTTATTGTGTTAAGTATAAATGTGCGCTAATTGCCGCTTGATTCTTATATTTACGTGTATCGTGTATTTTTTTAATATTATAGCAATAGCTATATAATAGCTGACCATACTGCACTTCACAAAATTGTGAGTATTTTTTTTTATTATTATTCGTGTTTATTATTGAGGCAAAAGGGCCGTATATTATTTTTATATTGTTTAAATTGTATTACAGTCAACTGACGATATAACGAATTTCAAGGGACCGAGAAAAAAATTCGTTATATCGAAAGTTCGTTACATCGAAATTCGTTTATCAAGAAAATATACTAATTGAATTCGTTATAACGAGATTTAAAACAAAAATTCAAAAATTTATTATTTGTATACATATGTATAAAATATATGAGTCACATAAGTATGTATTTATTGTTTAATTTCAATATAAATGTATGTAGTAATATTTCTAATAAAATACCGTATTTTCGAACGTACGGTTACGTTTAACACAACGAACAGAACTAAAACGGTACCGATAATAATATGTTACATAGTATAATAATATGTTACGTACATTTTGCGTAGAGTCACTAATCGACATAAGTCTTATCTTAATTGCGATACTGTACTTGAGTGTACTATCGCATGATAATCATCAGAAAAACTTCGTAATCTATTATGTAGTAATAGCAACATACTTATTTTTATATATTTTTCATAGAGTTATACAACACTAGAGACATGTATCTTATCTTAATTAAAATTAAAAATTCGTAATAGAAAGCTCCAAATTTATAAAAATTCGTTACATCGCGAGAGTTTTGATCAAAAACGCTTCGCTACATCGAGGATACCAAAATACATTACATTTGTTCGTTATACCGCGATATTTTCAAGGGACCGGTAGTTTTATTCGTTATATCGAATTTCATTATATCGCGAGTTGACTGTATTAATATTAAGTCCAAATAAGAACTACCCACTAGCATCCGTTTTATGTATTATATTTTTTCAATCTATTTATTATATAGATATTAAGTATTAATTTGGTACCTAACATTTGAGTTATTTATTTATTTGATTTACCTATCTGTCCCTAGTTAGTAGTTGTTAAGTTTATACACACACTACTTGCATACACACCTATGTACAAGACACACAGTACACCACATGCATTACATAGTTCGACAGCACATGCCATTTCCCGGCTATCCGACCACTGGTGATCGAGCTATTATGACATTACACAGATCAGCTATTGCCTATTTCTACGAATTTTTTGGTCTTAGGTGTTAGTGCGCGAAATCATAAGCTCTTATTATTTTTGAGTGCCTAGGCGCGCGTATTATAGCTATACGCTTCAGCCCGCATAGTTTTACCATTATTAAAATGTAAATTTCAATATAATTATTTGTACAGTTCTAAACCTTACCTTAATCATCGATTCATAGTTCGGCACTTTGAAATTTTCATTATTTTCAGATATTCAGTAATTGAATTTTTTATATAAAGGTTCAGCATAACCAATTTTTATAATAGCTAGGTATAAAACATATAATATAATTAATTATGCATTGTCAATTGATTTACACTAACGGCATCGATCTGTTTTCCACGAATGGGTAGGTACATAATACATATTATAACACAAAATACTCACACTTCTTTAATTCATTCATTATAAAATCGATCTTGGTTTTTAATTCACTATTTATGCAAAGTGTTACCGGTTTAACATTCTTGTCCAATAAAAAATTTTCTCTGGCCATTAACAGTTGATTGTTGATTAAACTATAAAAAATCGAAAGTGCATTACTAACCCATAATATGTAAATTATTAAATTATTAAAAGCTAAGAAAACGTGATCGAAACGATGGATCCAATCTTGAATGAAATATGGGATATTTTTATTTTAAGGTATAAATACAAGCAACAACCATTATCGTCAATTTAATTTTTTCCAAATGTGTTTTAACCTTTTATGGCATTAATATACCTGAAAGTGTTTCAACAAAAAATGCTTTTTTAAAAAGAAATAAAAAACACTGGGAGAAAATCATGATAGGTATTTCAAGATATTTCAAAAACTATTGAATATGATTAAATAGTTAGGTTTCAATCATCTACTTATATTTGAAGATATACAAAGAAAATTGGAATTCAGTTGATTTATTTTAAAAAATTAGGGTAAATATGTAAGTATCCTTGATGATTTAAGATGAAACAATTTTTTTATTATATACAAGTTTTTACTCTCATATTCCAAAAAAAGCATAAGAACATCATAATTCATAATTAATAAAAAGTAGTAATTAGTAAAGTAACATGTTTCATACATTTTAAATTTGATAAATGTTGATTAATTTTATGAAAATATAATATATCATAATAAATAATATATAGTAGGTACCTATGTTTATTATGATATATATCTATTATAAGAGTTTAAGTAATAAATTATTTTTTTATCTCAATACCTTATTAATATGGCCCGGAATTATATGCCCTAAAAACTCGACTAAAAATTTGTTAAATATGCATGTATTTATGGACTGATTATCATTTAAATATGCACTTTAAATAAGTAAAAATATATGAAAGTTATGCACATACGGATCACGAGTCACGACAAATCACAAATGTATGATTTACAAAAATCTACTCAATAACAGATTACTACTTGTCCCGATAGGTGTCAGATAAGATAAGAAAACGATTTTGTCAAATTACCTACGTGGACTATAAATACGTTATTTTAATTAAAATAAGCAAAATATTACATATTTGCATTTAAAAACCGTATATATGTAATGAAAATATCGTAAAATACAGAAATATACAGTACATGTCAAAATAATGATAAAATATGCAAAATAAAACTAATATTTAGGATCTATTGACTAATGACTACAAATCGAATTTGTAGCTTACCTACCTAGCTATTTTTTGGACTCTTCAGAAAAAACATGCAAATGCATATAAATCCGGACTCTACTTATTAATAACACATTTTAATTCTTTATGTAAATGTATAAAGACATTTAGACATAACACTTTTGTAAATACTTAAATATATTTAATATACAGTATCTAGATACTTTTTTCTGTCTTGACTCTTGAACTGTACTGAGATACTTTTAAAAAATTTGAATCTTTATCTATGTTTTAGGTACAAAATATTATGTTGGTATTTTAATAGAAGTATCTATAATTTTCTTAAGGAACAATTATTACTATATTAGTTTAATTAATTATTTAATTATCAAGAATGATCCATGATTATTGATAAGTGGTCAGTTAGATAATACACATTACTTTTTTTTTTTTTTTTTATTATAGCTTCAAGTTACAACTAATTTAGTTAAACAATTAAATAAACACATTACTTATTTACTTATTAAATCTATATTTTTATTTTTTTTTATTGGACTAAGATTAATGAATCATAGATGTATAATATTGTTATTGACTAATTATTTTTGATTTTGTATTATAAATAGGTATAAATTTATGTTTTGTTAAATGTGTCTTAAATTACTTGTATCTGTAGGTATCTATATTCTAGATACTAATTAAAGTTATATCATTACAGAACAGAATATATAGACATTTAGTACTAGTTTTGTTGAATTTATAATGATTGGTATATACCTAATTGGATTTCATAAAACATTTGTAATAGGTACTCGTGTATTGTATGATCTAGATATATTAATCGAAAAGAATCCAATAATATAATTTTTTTAAACCAACAATTACTTTGTTTTATTCTAAAACCTAAAACTTAGTACGCAGTAGTCAGAAGGTGTAGATACCTAAATTAATTTGAATTTTTACCTTATAGATGTTTCATTTATTGCATAATAATTAAATGATAAATACAATTGTTGAAAGACTTAAGACATTAATAATTGTTCATTTGATGAGTTTTGTTATTGTTTCAGCTAATATCACAAAACGAGTAGATCACAAATTCACAAATAGGTGGGAAGTAGGTAAAGCTGGTATCACACACGCACATATTATACTCATCTTCGTTATATTTGTTCATTTTAGTTTTGTATAATAATATAATAATAAGAAATTACTATTGTTATTGTGAAGTATGTACAGGTATAATGACGAGATATCGTCCGTCGACGGCACACTGGATGCGCGCCGCGCGGTACAACACGGCCGCCGACCGATTGCATAATAATTATTATTAAATACGTTTTTGTGTAGTTGTCCGAATAATCTCACAATAGTCGCAGGTACCGTCTGGTTTTTCTGCGTTGTCGCGGATCGCGTTATACATAACATAAAACCTCATATTGCGTACACGAATCGCCGCTCTTATTTAACTATTTTATTTTTTATATTTATATTGAGTGAGCGCCAATCTTCTTTTTTATTATGTTTGATACAAGTGTGTGCTAATCGTCACTTGGTTGTTATTTTAACGAGTGTCATGTATTCTTTTATTTAATTATTACTTCTATTATAGCAATAGGACCCAGCCGGTGAGACTGCGCTCCACAAAATTGTGAGTATTTTTTTTATTATTATTGAGGCAAAAGAGCCGCATATTATTGTGTTCTATTTATATTGTAGCTCTAATAATAGCTATCTTGTATATTTTCTATATTGTTGGGCTAGGAGGATCGTATTGTTTATATTGTATTATTAATATTAAGCCCAAATAAGAACTACCTACTAGCATCCGTTTTATGTATTATATTTTTGCCATCTATTTATTATATAGATGTTAAATATTAATTTGGTACCCGACATTTGAGTTACCATTTGTTTATTTACCTATCTGTCCCTAGTTGTTAGGTTTATACACATACTTATACACAAGACACACAGTACACAACACGCATTAAATAGCTCGTTAGTATTTGCCCGGCAATCCCGACCTCTGCTGTTCAAGCTATTTCAATTTTCAACACTACATCAGCTATTTCTGCGTATTTTTAAGTCTTAGGTGTAAGTGCGCGAAGTCATAGGTTTTTGATGTGAAACATCAATTGGCGCGTCTTAATTGATAAGAGGTTGTGACGGTTTTAACTTTTATGGCTTATGCCGTGACGAACTAATGACAAAATGTTATCAACGTAACCGTGTGGCAGTTTTGCCTATCTTTGGCTGCATACTAATTGCG